TTTTTTTTTTTTTTCATAAACTGCGAACGTCAGTCAAAATGGAATTGAATACCTAAATTTTGTCACATTTATATATATTTTATTTTGTTTTGCTGTTGATTTTTATTACTTGGCAACAACTATGTGATAAATTTATTTATACTTAAACTAGGAATTAAAGATATGTTCCTGTTAGTACAAACGAGGGAACGCTGTATGTTGTATTCGCAGGAGCCCATTACCTGTTACTTATTGAGGGTCCCCAATAGGGTTCTTCAATCCCGCAATCCCGACCCAAAATTTCGTGCAATCCCGTAATCCCGAGGGTTATTTTTGGAATCCCACCTCCCTAACGTACTTTCAATCCCGAAACTCGCGCCGATTTTGCTTTCAAATTCCGAATACCTAGCTTGAAATAAGGGAAATCCCGGGTCCCGAAAAACTGACCCATTGAGGACCCTCCTTATTGGCATGGGTTCCTGATATTTTAAACCATTTTGCCTTCATTTAAAACCGGGTGGGCTATTTATCAACCATCCATTACTATTTAAGTCGCCGTTGCGGCGTGCACTGCTAAATGCTTATCTTCCGGCCTAATGATGACTTGAGTAACCGGCCAAAAAAGTCGTGATCTTATGATACAGTTTGACATAGCTTACATTTTGTAATATAAATGAAACTATCATTGAACACAATGAAGTAAAAACGCTATATCACTAATTTCTGGTCAAACGCTGCCTACGTTAATTAAATTCATGACAGGCCTAAGACGGCCTTCACCTATAATTGATCCTTCATTCTTAACACACCAGCGAAAGTTATAACTTTAATTATTTTGTTTTAGAAAAATTAATCAAAAAGTCAGTTTTAATGATCACACGAACAGATGTTAGTATTTTGCAGTTTTCATATGCGATGATTATTTAACAAACTGCGGCAAACCGCGACAATACCACCCCCATTAGATCGGAGACTACTCTTTAATCCCACAATGTGGTCACAGCTTTCCTGACAAGGGTAGCCTTTAAATGCATCACAATTTCGTAATTAGGTCTAATTTGTTATACACATCTTACCAAGTTAGCAAGCTGGCATTAAATTAAAAGCACACAGTTTTTCCTCTGCATATCTGAGAATGATTCATTCGCAGTTAGGCTTTGACCGCGCAACTTCTGAGAATTTTTGTTTCTCTCCAAATAGTAGGGTAAATGAAAAATTAAACACAGAATTACTTCGTAATTTTTTTGTTGTTCTGTGATATAAAAATGATTTTCTTTCCAAAGTTTCTTAACAGCTTTGTGATAAGTTATGTTAAAAGGCCTCAAAGATGACTTTTTAAGTGACAGCGAAGAAGCGTTTTGTTGTGTACCGACAGGAGTCATCCAATTCCCGTGTATTGGTCGACTCCTGCACTAGTCAATAGCAGCGAATTTAAAGAAACCTTTGCTAGTTACCTAATGCTTAACTAAGTCGTAGATTAGAATAATGGTTGCTCAATTCTTTTCTGATCTTGTAACACGGATGGGGATGGTGTTATTTCAGTAAGCGAAACTATCATAGAAGCCGTCTAACGATAAAATTAACTGGAGTGCATGAATTACCTGAATGATGACCTACTCAAGCTCGTGTGCTAGTGCTAGTGCTCCTCGCTGGCTTTGAAGACAACACCAAATATGAATACCATACTTAATATATGATCTATTTGACGCTTCCCTTCAAATAAACGCCTCTTGTCTAATAAACGCCCCCTGACGATGTTAATATTAGACGCGGCTCCTCTCTGCTAAACGTCCCTTACCTAATAGACGCCGCCCATGATAATTGCTTGATTGACAAAGGTGTGAACATTGCATCTTCTTCAACTTTCAAGTTCAAAGTGAGGATAGACAAACGATGGCAATACAGTAACCCTCAACGAGGATATTCTGAAATCGAAGTTGAGATTTGAAAGAGCGCGGATAAGGATCTCTAGACGGCTTAGTTCTTGATGAACTAGAAATTCGGTTATTTATAGAATCTCTTGATGTTTTTGCCGATACTAGCACATTAGTTGTAGAGATTGTTAAATTGATTCTCCCTAAACGCCTTGGATATATTAAACGCCCTCCCTCGGACTCCTAGAATCAAATAAACACCTCGGGCTTCCATTTACAGTACAGTCAATAATAAAACTAAAGATGGAAGTCATAATTGATCCCGTATTATTTTGCAGTTTTCAGACAAGGCAGCCTTGTTGATATATCGTTGTTGGTGTTTCTCACAAGGTTGTGATATCGACAAGATTCTCCATCACAAAATTAGAAATTCAGCAGAATTTATAAGTTCTGCATTGGCAGATGCATAGTCACCTGTCTCAAGAGCGGTTCCATATTTTAATAAAACGTTGTTGCAGAGCTGTCTATCATTGATGCCATTCAGGAGAGAAGGGCCATCTCTGTTGTTTTCATGTGTTTGTCTGTGACCGATTGATAACACAATAATCCCAGAGAGTGATCAGCTTCAATTTTCTCCTTTTAGTATCTATACTCTATAAAACATTTTGGTCACGAGAATCAAGGAATTGATAATACAATATTGAATTTAATAGATGCTTTAACAACTTCTCCCCCTACTTCTACAGTAAGTCTACACAGGGAACAAGTTAAGAATAAAGTTAAGAGTTAAAGGTCTCTGTGACGATTTTTTTTTCAGCCATAAATGCATAAAATATTTTTAGCTACAAATTTTTCTTTAAAAATTACCAGGTCGTTAGATAGAACTAACTCAGACGCTTTGTTTAGGACTAAGTAGAGACTCGAGGTTTGTTTGCGAGATCTGTAAGGAATAACTCATAAGCAGAGATCAAAGAAAGAATTTGAATAACAATTTAGCAAAGAGATCGTGGTTTACTGTCACATTTTGGAAGTGGAAACACCTGTTAAACTGATAATGTAAAAGGAAACCTCCAAAGCAACTCATCCTACCATCTTTTAAAGAGGGCAATGAATTGAGCACCACACCAGGCTTCAGACACATATTCTCTTTTAATGGATCCGCCCACCGACCATAGAGAAATTTGCAATAATTATGTTTTGGAACGGAAAACGCTTATCAGTAGTCTTAAACTTCAAGATTAAGTGAAGAAAACCTCAAAAGAAATACATCGTAGCATTTTTGAAGGCTACAATAGTGAGTATTAGTGCAGTACGCAAGCTTTAAACGTATCCTCATTTTATAATGGCTGCGTGATGATCGAGAGAAAAGGTACCCAGGCCCGATACTGATATGGAAAAACTTGAAGTCGTCCATCCATCCATTCGCTATATTTTCACA